TTGGCACCCGGTGTCTCTGTGGTCGCCAGGGGTGCTCTCTTCCTGCTGTGAGCAGTTCTTTCTGCACACATCGCGTCTCTTTCTCATTCTCTGGGCCTTAGCTTGGAAATGGTTTCCTCCTGGAAGTCTTCCCTGACTCTCCCTCTCCCTCCTACCAGCTCTGGAGATAGTTACGGAGGGTATGGAGAGGGTTTGGACGGTAACGGCACAGAGGGTGTCTTTGTGTCCCATGGAACTTAAGAGTTTAGCGGAGTTCTCATGGGGTTTGCAAGCCTTAGATAAGTATTGCCCAAATACGGTACAAACTAAGTGCATTGATGGTATAGTGGTGGACATAGCTGCCTTCCAAATATAGTACAATCTCTACTAAAAAAGAGAGAGCTTTCTATGTGTAGACTTTGAATGATGTTCCAGATTTAGGAGTAAAAAGAAGTTAGAGAATAAAACGCACTGTTTGCTAGGTGGAAGGACAGTGACTAAATTATTCCCAGTGGTTACTACTGGGAGACAGTTTTCCAAGGGTCTCTGTTTCTGCATGTATTTTAAGTCTCTACTGTTTAGTTCACCAACAACCAATTTTGTGATTCACCAGCGGGGTGTTCAGCAATTCAATTCAGTTCTGACTACTGATTGCTGGAAGTTAGTGTAGACCCCACAGGTTAAGGGTTTAGACTCACAAGACTGCCCCCTACTTCACACATCAGTGTTAAGTCCCAGGCCTCCTTTACTTCGGACTGACTGGCTATAAATTGGGGTTCCCACGACCCCCTCCTTAGGTTCAGTAATTTGCTAGAATGACTCAGAGAACTCAGAAACACATTTTACTTACATTTATCAGTTTATTATTAAGGATACAACTTAGGAACAGCCAAATGGAAGAGATTCATAGGCTAAGGAATGAAGGGAGGTACTTGAACCTTCCATGCCCTCTCTGGGCAAACCACCCTACCAGCACCTCATTTTGTTCACAAATCTGGAAGCTCTCTGAACCCTATCATTTAGGGGTCTTTTTGAAGGCTTCATCACCATAGATATGATCAATTATTAACTTAATCTCCAGTCCCTCTCCCTTCCTCAGAGGTTGGGGGTAGGACTGAAAGTTCCAGGCTTCTAATTAAGGCTTGATCTTTCTAGTGACCAGCCCCCGAAGCTATTTAGGGGCCCACCAAGCATCACTTCATTAGAACAAAAGAGGCTCCTATCACCCAAGAAATTCCAAGGGATTTTGGAGCTCTGTGTCAGCAACCAGTGACAAAGACCAATATATATTTCTTATTATGCCACAGAGTTACTAACTGACCTGCATCTTGGGAGAGGCCTCACCAGCAAGAAGGTCCTCACCAGATGTGGCCCCTCAACTTTGGACTTCTCAGACTCCAGAACTATAAGAAATAAATTTCCTTTCTTTGTAAATTACCCAGTCTCAAGTATTCAGTTATAGCAATAGAAAACAGACTAAGACAGAACTAATTTTCTTAATTTCTATTTTGATAATTTGCTGCTGTTTTTATGTTTTAATTTTCTTGGAAATACTGTTAATTGGAATCCCTGGATTGCTTGTTAGGCAATTATGTTTTAGCCAATGTCTAAGATGGTGACGGGAGGAACACCCAAAATGGCTGCAGAGAGCTTCAGGTCCCTAGAACAGCACGTTTTCCAAGAATCACAAAAAGCCCCCTCTCCCTTCCTCACCACCACATCCCCTTCCCGCATGCACGAATTTCTCCACCTATAGAAAAATCCCAACTCAGCGTAAAGCCCGCTCACTTCCCTCCCCTTCCTTCTTAGCCAATAGGAACAGTCCAGCTCAGCCTAACTGGATATAAAAGGCCCACCCCCAACTCTCCCTGCTGCTGCTCCCACTTCTGAGAGGGCAGCCTGCATGCTCATTTTGCCTGCCTAATACACTTTGGTTTGAGTTCCTGTCTCCTGGTGTGTTTCTTTTGTGCTCAGGCCGGGGTTTTTTCTTTTCAGCTTCTCTAGATTTTTCTTGTTTCCTTTTATTACATTTTATACATTAAAAAGAATAAGCAGCAAGCATGAAAGTTTCGAAGCATAATATTAAAATGAACGTTTTGAACACATCACTACAGATCTAGAATTACACTATGCACTACAGTAGCTACCAGCCACATGTTGCTATTTGGCACTTGAAATGTGTCCAGTGTGACTGAGGAACTGAATTTTTAATTTTAATTCTAATTAGTTTAAGTTTAAAAGAGGATTCTCTATCCCACTGGAAAACTTTTAGTATGTTTGGGACAATTTGGCTATGTAAATCTATTTTTTCAATTGTTAAGTTTTATGAAGTCTAAATGCAGAGCGAATATTTCTGATGAAAATTAAGAGTACAAACTGAAATACGCTGTAAATGCAAAATACACACTGAATTTCAAAGACTTGGCATAAAAAAATAAAATAACATACTTTGATAATACTTTTTTGATTCCATGCTGAAATGATAATATTTTGAATATACTGGGTCATATGTATCGTATATTATTAAAGTTAATTTCACTTATTTATTTTTACCTTTTTAATGACAAAATTTTAAATTTTATATAGGGGCCGGCATTATATTTCTGTTGGACAGGTCGGAGCTAGAACATTACTCCTACTATTGCATCAACCAATGTGCTCCTCTCCCATCCCATCACTTTGACTCCCCTTCAGAAGTAACCACTATCTTAAACTCTGTTTATCTTTCCTTTACTTAAAAATAATTTACCCCGTGATTATGTCATTAATCAATGCGATACTTAGTTTTGCTTGTTTTTAAACTTTACAAAAATGGTACCATGCTGTATATTGTCTCTGGGAATTGCTTTTATAACACAACATGAAATTTCTAATATTCACCCATGTTATTGTTTGTAAGTGTGGTTTATTCATGTTTACTGCTATAAGATATTCCATTTTCTAAATACGGCAAAATTTGTTTTCCTATTTACTTATTGTTGATAAACATTTGAGTTATTTCTAGGTTTTTGCTATTATGAACAATTATGCTATGAAAATTCTTATACATGAATCTTGGTGCTAATGTGCAAGAGTTTCTCAGGGTATACATCTAGGACTGGAATTGTTGGGTTGTAGGATAAAGTCCAACTTTACAAGATATTATCTAATTGCCTTCCAAAGTGGACATATCACTTACCACCACCACCGGTGGTTATCATAGTTCCACATCCTTGCCAAAACCTGGTAATGTCAATTTTCTTAACTTTGTCTGTGTAGTGGTATCTCACAGTATATTACTATGGACTTCATTCTTTGATTACTGAAATTGAACATGTTTTTTGTGTTTGGTCATCATTCTTTACAATTTTCTGTGAAATATTTAATGTATGCTTTTCTTTTTTTTTCTTTTTCTTTTTTTTTTGGCTTTTTAAAGGCTATCTTTTGCTTATTGAGTTGTAGGAGGATTAGGCTGAACCATTTTAAATTGCCACTATTCAACCTCTAACAATGGCAGCTCATATGAATTCCAGTCCATGAACAAGTATACGCTTCCTTTCATTTAGATCTTTAATTTTTCCAAATATTGTTGTAGATTTATGTGAGGATTTTGCTCATCTTTCATTAGATTCATCGCCAGGTATCTGATGTTTTTTGATGCTATTATAAATGGCATTAAAAAAATCATTTTTTGAAGTATTTATAGCTGTTGAATAGAAATATAATTATTGAACTTGTATTCTGCTACCTTGTTGAATTTATTATTATGAATAGCTTCTGTGTAGATTCTTTTGGGTTTTCTTGATTTACAATCCAGATAATTTTATTTCTTCCTTTCATATCTTTATACCTTTTATTTCCTTTTCTTGTCTTATTGCTGTGATTAAGACCTGCAGTACAAGGTTTTAAACATAGTGAGCATGTTTGTCTTGATTGAAGAGGTAAAGCTTTCATTTCACCAACAGACATGTGTCTCACGGAAGTGTTTTGTAGACGTCCTTTAACAGATTGAGAAAGTTTGGAAGTTCCCTCCTATTTCTAGTTTTATAAGAGGTTATTTTATTTTATTTTTTGGCACCCGGCTTTTAAGGGGATCCTAACCTTTGACCTTGGTGTTATCAGCACCACATCCTAACCAAGTGAGTTAACTGGCCAGCCCCACCTAAGAGATTTTGAAAATTCTGAATGGATAATCAAATACTTTGCTGCATCTAGTAAGATGTTTATTTTTTTCTTCATTCTGTTAATGTGATAAATTACCTTTACTGACTTTTGAATGCTAAGCCAACTGCAAATTACTAGAATAACCTTAACTTGTTCAAGATATGTCATTTTTTGAAAATCATGTATTACTGGATTCTGTTTGATAATATTTTAAGATTTTTCTCATTACACTCATGAATAATAATGGTCTGTAATTTTCTCTTTAATTTCCTTGTCAGGGTTTGGTATCAAGGTTATACAGGCCTCATAAAATGACTTTGTTTAATGCTGGGGTTGGTTTTTCCTTGCATGTTTAGTAAAATTAATTAGTGAAACCATCTGAACCTGGAGTTTCATTTCTAGGAATATGTACTATAGATTCTATTTAAGTAACTGGTATCAGACCATTCCAATTATATATTTCTCCCTATATTATTTTTAGAAAGAAGGGTTTTCTGAGGAAGATATTCTACATGAACCTGGAAAACCTTTTCACCAGAAAGCAAGGAAACCATCGAAGACTACTAAAGTCATGTTAAAAGGGCTTAGCAGCTAATCTGGAAATGCTTGCTCTGACACCAATGAAGTAGTCCTAACAAAACTAAATCTAATCTGAATTTGATAAAGCCCCTAGATCTAACTACCAAATTATAGAACATATAGGGGCAGAGGAACATGTTAAATACCATCAAAGGAGGGCAATAATTAAAATCCAAACTGTGGTAAACTCTACAGCACAACCAACCTAGTTAATCATTAAATAAATTGCAAGGAGAAAAAAAAAAAAAAGACTGTGGGGAGAACTTATATATTAAAAACTTAAAATACATACCAACTTATCACAATGTATAGACTTTATTGGAATACTGATTTTAAAAAATGTGAAAATAATGAAGACAGACAATTTGAACACTGAATGATCTTTGATGATATTGACGAAATGGATAATTTGGTTTAGGTGTGATGACTGTACTATTGTTAGTTTTTGAAAGAGTCATTATCTTCTATAGTTAACCAAATATTTACATATAAAACACAATTTCTGGAATTTGCTCCAAAATAATCTTGAGCAGGGAGAAGGGGTAGGGATATAGATGAAACAAGATTAACCCTGAGTTAATAATTGGTGAAGCTGGGTGACATGTACGTGGATTCATTTTTCTATTTTCTCTACTTTTGCATGAATTTGAAATTTTCTACAATAAACTTAAAAAAAAATAGAGGACTATTAAACTGTTGAGAAACTAACGGGAGGACTTGGACCTGTTGATCTTCACTGTAGGTTATCTGGGTGGGCCAGTTGCAGAGGAACTCCTGTTCAGATGTATCTGAAGCTCTGTCCTTAAGTCATATATCTATCTAAAGGTCACATACCCAGTTTCATCCTCTATAGAAACAATTTCAGAGTTATGTCCTAAATGCTTTCATCTATAAACTATGTAAGAAATGGCCATATAAAGAGTATGCTCTAATTTCCTGTAGAAACTGAACCTAAGGAACAATGTTTTCATCTTATGTCTTTTGTATAATAAACCATGTAATCCCCTTTGGAATTTGTTACTAGAAAATTGCATCTTTGTCCTTTATTACTAGGTAATATGTAACCATTTTCCAAAATGTTTTCTGTGAAACGAATTCATGAAGATGCTTCCCCAAACAGGGATCTATGGTGAATTGATTTTGGAAAGCAATTTTTTTCAGCTCCCTCATTTATGATTTAGAATGGACATTAGCATATTATGCCCTGAGAAGTCTTTAAGAGAGAGTTAAAAAACCCACCTAGTTATCATTTCCCAAAATTATTATTTAAGAACAACTACTACCTTGTATAACACTTTTGAGAAATGCTGGGTAACTCACTGTTCATTACTTTACCAGCAGAAACTTAGAGTTAAATTTAATTCTCAATTATAGTTATTATTGTTAATTGAATCAACACATTTACATTCTCTTCTAGGATTTTTCAATTTCTATTTTAACAGCCTTATTGTATGCTGGTATTTAATTCTCTCTGCAATAGGAACTGATAAGGTGGTAACATTTGGAAGAGAAAAGGATGGAAGTAAAAGACAGAGACCTAAAAAGATACACATTTACTAATAAATTTGAAAGAGTATTTCATGTATCATGCAAATGGACACAGCAAATATTTAAGAAATAAACATTTAAAAAAATTTGTTGTATTTATAACTTAAAGTGGGGCAGGCTTCACGCTCTTTCCGTATGTAAACTGCTACTTGAGCATTTACAGCCGACTTCTCCTTATCTGTAATTTTTAAACCTGCTCTTTCCCACCTCCCTTTTCACCCTAAATCTCAGCAATTCTGATACAATATGGAGAAATACCATTCAGGATTTAAGTTAAAAACAAACTAACAACTTGCTAAAAACTTGCTTTAACTCATCAATGTTTATCAACTAAAAAAAGTTTTGTGTTGAACTGAGGTTCAGCTTCATGTTCAAAAGGTGTGGTACATGAAAACAGGAATTGCCCATGTAAGTCTGAGCATTTGGGGGTCATTTGTGCAGAATTATGTGATCCTGGGCAAGTTTTTTTATCTTTCTATGCCTCAAATTCCTCATTTCATAGGGATATTGTATGGATTAAGTTAAATGTATAAAGCCCTAGAATAGTGTGCCTGGCGCCTAGGAAGCACTAGTATGTATTATTATTATGAAATGATTGACAAACTCTTGGCAGTGATTGTGCTCACTGAAGAAATACAATGCCTTTGGAGAACTCAAAATTGGGGGTCAGGAAGTCAGGATTAACCAATATAGGAGACAAGAAGGGCCAGTTTAAAGGGTAGAAGGAGAAACGGAAAGTGTAAACAGAATTGTTACACTCAGGCATTGGTGGTCAAAATACTGACTACTGAGGTCTGGGATATAGTTACTGAAGAGAGGGGTTTCTCCCTCTCATCAAGTTTATGGGTTCTCTATATTCGATGTTTTTTTTTCTTATGACCAGTGAGATTTGAGCTGACTCTGAAAGATTTTCCACACTCCTCACATTCATAAGGTTTTTCCCCTGTATGAACTCGCTTGTGTCCGATTAGAGCTGAGCACTGACGGAAAGACGTGCCACAGTCATTGCAGGTATATGGCTTCTCACCAGTGTGGATTCTTTTGTGCTGCCTCAGGACTGAACTATGATGAAAGGCCTTTCCACACACCACACATTTGTAAGGTTTCTCTCCAGTGTGAATTCTTTGATGATTGGTCAAGTTTGATTTCCCACTGAAGGCTTTGCCACACTCTGAGCATTTATAAGGTTTTTCTCCAGTGTGGATTCTTTGATGGATGGTAAAGCAGTGCTGATCATGGAACGTTTTCCCACAATCCCCACATTGATAGGGCTTCTCCCCAGTGTGTTCTCGTTCATGAGTCCTGCGCTTACAGTTATGACGAAAGGCTTTCCCACACTTGTCACACTTGTAAGGTTTCTCTTCAGTGTGGATCCTTCTGTGTTTAGTGAGTTCTGCCTTGATACCGAAGGCTTTTCCACACTGGGGGCACTTGTAGTGTTTTTCCTGTGTGTGGATTCTTTTGTGTTTGCTTAGGTCTGAGCTCCAACTGAAGGCCCTTCCACACTCACTGCACTCATAAGGCCGCTCCCCAGTGTGGATTCTTGTGTGTTTGGTGAGATCTGAACTGCCGCTGAAGGCCTTCCCGCACTCCTCACATTCATATGGTTTCTCCCCAGTGTGGATTCTGCTGTGGATGGTAAGGGAATGCTTAAACTGGAAGGCCCTCCCACAGTCATTACATTCATAAGGCTTCTCTCCAGTGTGGATGATCTGATGCATACTGAGACGGTTCCTGGTTTTGAAGGCCTTTCCACACTCCCTGCACTCGTGAGGCCTCTCCCCACTGTGGGTTTTTTTATGACGGCAAAGACCTGATCTACTATTGAAGGCTTTCCCACACTGAGGGCAGTTAAAGGGCTTCTCCCCTGTGTGGATTATTTGGTGCAGAGAAAGCTGATTTCTGGTCTTGAATGCTTTCCCGCACTCATTACACATATGGGGTTTCTCACCAGAATGAATTCGTTCATGGAGAATCAGGTCTGAATGCCAACTGAAGTTTTTGTCACATTTGGCACATTCATGGAACTTCTGTTCCGTAGGAACTCTAGTATATGGAATATGTTTTGAGTTAGGATTGAAATTTTTTCTAAGTACCTTCTGGTTTTTTCCTTTTTTGAAAGTCATTTTCTCAGAGTCTTTTTTCTTTTCTCTCAATTTCTCGTTTATGAGTGTTTTCCACTGATTTTCTAATTTGACATCCTGTACACAACCTTTAACTTCAAGATCCAGGGAAACAACTTTTAGGAGGCTGTTAAATTTTACCCAGCAGACTTCTCCATTTTCAAAAGCCTCTTGTTCTAAACTTGACTTCTCATTCTCTGGCCATGTCTTGTCAGTTGACACTTAAACAAGAAAATAAAAATGTCAGAGGAAAGGAAATAAGTGAGGTGGGAGCGGTGAAGCAATGTTAAGCTGTTTGAAGAGTAAATGACTTTTCCATGCTGGAAAAATTGCTAACATTGTGGCCAAAGGTCAGGACAGGTTGAAATAATGAAAAGAAGTAAGATATTTTAAACTCAGCAAATTAAAAAAAAAAAAAATCCCTATAAATCTACTCCTCTAGAGGCTCCTAGTTTAGTAAGCGGCAACTCCATATACCTAATCACCTAAGCCAGGAAACTGTAAATCAACCTCAACTCCTCTTTCCTCCTCTCATATTTACTCAGCTAACATTTTACAAATTCCACCTGTGAAGTGAGTTGCAGAGGTGGTGCTGAAATGCTGATGCAGTCCCCTTTCAAAGAACTGTCTGCTTTGCTCCCAAGAGTAGGCCCTGGAGAGCCATATTGCTGCTGTGTGACTTGGCCCATCTAGGTGGGACAGATTAGATATGAACAAGACCTGACCCAAACTAGGCCAGATTCTGTTTTCTTGGACTTTGGAATTGTGATCTGAGGGCAGGTTAGGCCAGGTTGTGAGGGTAGATGAATCTTTAGCATTTCAATTTGAAAACCAGTGGATGTTATATGGTACAGAGGAGGGAATGTTCTGCTATCTGGTCTGAGAAGCAGAGGTCAATGTGCTAGGAAAGAAGAATAAAGCTGACCCACAGAGCAGCAGAGAAGACAGCTGGAGAGAGAGCCCTGATGGCATTCCAGTTCTTCTTGAGCCTAATGTATATCTGCTCTTAGGTTCCATGACACACCCTGAATAATAAATAAATTCATGTTCTTTTGCTTAAGGTAGCTTTAGTTAATTTCTATTGTTGGCAATCAGAGAGTCCAAATCAATGTTCTCATTATCTCTTAACTCTGTCCCATCCTCCCCATTTCTACTGCCAGTGCATTCTCACTAGCTAACTGTAATACTGCTCAAATGTCATTTAGTCTGGCTCCCCTCTAAGCCATCCTCTACACTGCTTCCAGATTATTCTTTCTAAAAATCAAACCTAATGATGTCACTCTTTAGCTTAAAAGGCTTTAATGACACTCCATACTTAACCAGACAGGAAGGAAGTAAAGCACATGGTCAAGAGCCCTAGCTCTTAAGTAAGACTATCTGGGTTCAAATCCTAGTTCTGATACCTAATAACTATGTGAACTTGGGAGGACAGTGTAACTTCTCTCTTGCCTCCATTGTTTTATCTATAAAATGGACTTTAGACTACCCATGATAATTAGATGAGTCAATGCATTTAAAGCACTTGCCACACTGAAGTATTTAATCAATGTTGGCTGTTACTGTAAGAACAAAGCCCAAGGCTTGTAGTTTATCAAAAACTCTTCAAAAAACAAACCAAAAAATAGTCTTTGAAATCATAATCTTGCATCTTTATACTGCTCCTGCTTTTTCCCCACCAGCTACCCCAAGCCCTTTGCTGTGGTCACACTGAACTATTTACAGCTCATATTCTTTTACTCCTCAATACTTTCTCACATGTTATTTCCTCTGCCTAGAATGCTCCTCCCCTCCTTCAACTTATTATTTTCGGAGCTCTGGTGTAATGGATACACACAGAGGAGATAAATTTTCTGAGCTTTTTTTGAGGGTCAAATTGCAAAAAGCCTATGAGATATGTTGCAGAGAACCAATTAAATAATGAGAGCATAACTGCCCAAATAGTTGGCGGTGGTTGTTTGTTTTCTTTTCCTTAAGTTTTCCTACATGGATTTTCTTTCTGGGCCCTTCAGAATGGATGACCCACCGCTAAGAACATTCTATAGTCATTTTGTCACATGGAAGATAGGAGTGAACTGAATGCTTCTCTGTCACTCACCTGGGTAAGAACAGCTCAGGGACTCCCTGTCCTGTAAATCCTGAACACAGGGCTCTGCTCCTCGTTCCAGATGGGAGATCAAAGGAGGTTTAGGAAATGAAAATCCTGGTTGTAGAGAATGAGAATGTATAGAGCAACTGTCCTAATACTTAGCCTTGATCCCTCTGTTTGCATACAGAAACAGGAAAGAAATGTCCATTTAAGTAGAGAAAAGGGTTTATTCAGGGCCTAACATTTAAAAGAACACATTTAGGGACTTTCTCAGAAAAGTCATACTTAGAAGGGAGGAGAAAGAGATTCTTGGAAATGGTCATTTGGGTGTTCTTTTTAGGATAATGGGAGTCTGTATAGGGAAACTATCAGTTTCACATCCCTACAAGGCAGTTCATGGCTAGGGTCTGAATATAGAGTACCTGATGGGAAATGAGAGGCTTGAGGAAGCAACAACGCAGGGAAAACAGAAACTAAGTATCTCCTTTTCATCCAGGCAGAGTCCCATTCCAAAGAATCAGAAAAGAGCAACTAGGTTAGCCAAAAAAGTACCTTGCTATTTAACAGAGGCAACTTAAAATTGTAACTTTGGGGCCGGCCCCATGGCGCACTCGGGAGAGTGCGGCACTGGGAGCGCAGCGACGCTCCCGCCACGGGTTCAGATCCTATATAGGACTGGCCGGTGCTCTCGCTGGCTGAGCGCAGTGCGGGCGACGCCACACCAAGGGTTGTGATCCCCTTACCGGTCACGAAAAAGACAAAAAAAAATTGTAACTTTGGGGGGCAAGATCCTGATGATAAAGAATGAGGGCTCTGACTCTCAATTTGAGACCCCATGTACATCAATAAATAAAGCAATTAAAAAAAAAAAAAAGGAGAAAGCACTAAGCCAAGTGCAGGGAAGGTCCTTACCAAGTGATACCATGTTCCCATAATTTTCCAACATCACATCTTTATAGAGATGCCTTTGAGTGTAGGTCAGACACTGCCACTCCCGGTTAGTGAAGTTCACAGCTACATCCTCAAATGTCACTGACTCCTGAAACAATATGTTTCTGCTGTCCTGGAGAAAACTCCATAGTTTCCTCAGGAAACAGAGGCAGAAGAAAGGAATTTGTAGGGAGAAGGTTTATGGAAGTGAAAGGCTGTTATCGTTTGGTGGATATTTGGAAATCAAGTAAAAGGCAGCATCGGGTTTCAACAGCAAAAAATAAAAGAGGAAACAATCCACAAGTGGTATGTCATCCAACAAAATGTTCCTTACGAAAGGGAGCACCTTGATTTGGGAGTTGCATAGCCAGAGAATGCAATGAATATAGGGCCATAGTTAGGAGGCAGTGATATATTTTCAGGAAGGATGGAAGGGGCCTCAGCTCACTTGGGCCTGGCTCATCAGTGTGATATCTGCTCCTGCCAGGTTTCCTTGGCTTCCATATTTAGTAAAGGCAGGATATTGAGGAGTTGGTAGAGCTGAGGGAAGAGAGATAAGCCAACAGTCAGCTTATAGTATTAATGAAACCTTCTGCTTTCATCTTCTCTTCTCCAAATGCAGAAGCTTCTGCAGCTCTAACCTGGGCTTAAGTCTACTGCTTTACAGTATCCCTCTTCTCCATTATTTGCCTTGTCTCAGCTTCCAGTGTTGGGTGTCAGGACCTGGCATGGCAGCCAAGCCAACAGTGAGTGCACTCTTCTCCTCTCTCACCTATTTCATGTTTTTCTCTGGTCTTTGTCCAGAATAACCTTACCCCCTCCCTAAACAGATCAGGAAAAAAAGGCCCAAATCACTGACTCCCAGCTTGTATGATAACCCTTCTTTATTGAACTAATTTCCTCCAAAAGACTTGAGGAGGGGGGAGGAGAAAAAAGGGAGAATAGGTGTTGAACAGAAATATCCTGGGATAGGCCCAAAGCTTATTTTTTTTAGGTAACTTAAAGGCTGTTCTACTTCCAGTCAGTTTATTAGAAAACATTTTTCCCTGTCCATATTAGAGAAAAATCACTCGTCCCCTATAATGCTGAGCCTTTTTCCTACTAAATACCTAGTACTAAACTATCCTACCCATAACGATGCAGTATATCACAAACAGCACTTTAAAATGCAAAGGAAACTTTATCCAAGTTGTCTAAGTGTTTAGGTATAATCCATACGGATTGGGTGAGAAGTTTCACATTACTAATTAATGTAGCCCTATTTTATTCCTTGCAGGCCATATCAACTTTTCTGCAGCTTCATTGTTTATGGTATCTTTTTTTGACGGTCTATCAACACATCCCCAAATCCAAGTCTGAATGATTGCTTTCTATTATTAAGATATTAGCAGGGGAACAGTCATCTATTGGTAAAACTCAAAGATCATTCTTTGGCCTCAAGTCCCTGAAACTATCATTCAAATTTTACCAAAACCCTAATTTAGAACCAAATTGATTTCTTCTCACAGAAACTTCCCAAGAAGACTCTTTTTTGATCTAGACTACTCTTAGCTTTTGACCAAGACCAAGGCTGTGTCTCAGTTATAGTGGTTCCACTCAGTTTTTCTACTGTTTCACTCTAAAAGTCCTAAGTTACGTTATAACTCTGTCTCAAAAAATTCCAAACTTACCTGGACAGCATAGAGCTCACGGCAGACACGTTTTGCCTTGTTATATCATATAACAGTTCTTTTCCTTATAACATCAATAAACCTAAAGCTCTCAACTGGATTTTTGTCAACCAACATTTTATTATAAATATTTTCAAATATGTGAAATAGTTGAAAAAATTATATAGTAAATCTCCAGATGCCAATCGCTTACATTCTAAAATGAATATTTTGCAGTATTTGCTTTATCACCTATTAATCTTTTCCTCTATCTGTTCATTAATTTATTTTATCTCTTGAGGCACATCAAAGTAGGTTGTACACTTTACCTCTAAACATTAGTACACTTTACCTCTAAACATGCATATCGTTAACTGGATTCAATATCTGTTTACGTTTCTTTGAGGTAAAATTTACATATAGTGAAATGCACAAGTCTTAAGTGTACTACTAGATGAATTTTGACAAAAGCACATTTCTATATAACTCAAATTCCCCTCCATATACATTCCAATTTTTTTTTTTTTTTTACCATATTCTCATCACAATTGGAAAAGTTTTGTCAATTCAGAGTGATTCTTAAGCTTTATTTTTTAGCTTTATAATTTGAAAGGTCAGGTTCTCCTCTCAAGTTACAAATGAACTTGGGAGACAGGCTACATGCAAAAACAACAACATGACACTATTTGTTAAAGCAGTGCACAGATATTTTCTAGGATGAGATTAATATATTTATATATATGTTAGGTAACTGAAGACTTTATGGCCCTGAAAATCCACTATGGGAGGATAACTTAAGACCTTCTGAGTAAAGGAGGACTGGGAGACAGATGTGAACCATACGAGTGTATATATTTTTATATTGAAAAAAATGAAATAAAATGAGCACCCAAGTTTAGCAATATCTATTATTTTCTACTTCTAAATTTATAATAAATACGTTCCTTATGATTAATTTTCATTTATGATTCCTTATAGATTAGATATTTCAGGATTTCTCCTCTGGAAGTTTCAATGATATATCTAAAAATACATTTCACTTTTCTTTTTATAGGTTATACTAAAAAGCGTCCTTTTGGATATGCCTAGTCCTCTGTCCAAAAGTGTATGCCTTTCTGGGTCTGATTTTATGACTCCAGAATTGCTAAATACCATCTTCTAGGTCCCACATCCACCAGCCCCTTTTATACAAATCTTAAGCACTTTCTTCTTCACATATGCCACAAAAAGCACTTCTAAAACTCAGTGTCCCATTAGTATACCTTCCTTCATTTTCCTCAAAGCTTCACAGGAAAACCTTTCTTCCTTTTTTTGCCACTGCTTTAATTTTGTATTTTTCAAATACCTGTCGTATAATTTAAAAATCTCAGGGTTCCAAAAAAGTCTGTAGAAGTAAAATTATACATATTAAAATTTTATATGCTGGCAAAATTATGTTTGGGTAGGAGTTACTGAATTATACTGCAAGTTTTATACTTGTAAGTATTAATGTATAAATATGTACGCTATTTATCATATACATCGAGTTATACATACAGTAAATGATTGAATAAATTCAATTTCTTTGATAAATTGCTTTGTAGAATCTTTGCTTATGAATCTTTGGTTATTTTTTCCAAACTTCATATAAGATGAGGCAAAAACTGAATAATTTAATTCTTCTTGATACTGATCCAAGCTTGGCAGAGAAACAACAGAAGACTTTCTATAAATGTCTAATAGTGAACAGAGTTTTGGGCCCCAGGAAGGAGCGTCCACCCATTCTGTATCACTATACCATTCTCAGCTGCCATGACTCCTGCCACAACATCCTGTAATGTCTTACCTCTTTCCTGAAGGTGCTGGGAATCAGGGCGGATCCAAGGAAGCTGGCTTGGTGGTCCTGGACTCTCATCTGACAGCACAACCTGTTGTAGGGCACAGAATGAATTCACAGAGATTATGGAGGTGAGAAAAATACACGGGAAGATGCAACCAACCATCCAATCATAAAGGTTTGTTGATGGAAACTGTCTCACAGAAATAACAAAAGGAGGGAGAAAAATCAAGAACTCAGTTCTTAATATACCTTATGAAAAAAAGAAATGGCATCCAGTTACTCTCCATAACCACAGAGCTTTAATGATCATCAGGTCAAGCAGAAATAAACAATAGCCAGAGGGAGAGACCTCCACAAGGTCAGTCCAGGCCCACCACCACTCCCACTACTTTCCTTCTTTCTGAACTCACTTCTTCCTTCTTGGGCTGTATCACAGACCCTCCTCTTCTTACCTGTTGCATATTTTTACCCAGGTTTCTTTGACAGTCTTCCACCATTGTCCTGGTTTCTTCCTGCTGGTTGGATCCTGCTCCCAAACAATAAGTTATGAAGTGACTCCTGTAGATGCCAGCTTCCCTTGGGGGATATAAGTCTTGGTGGTGCCAGCCAAAGGGTCCTTACTGACCTACAGGACAGCTGTTATTTGGTTCGATGTGTCAAATATGCCCTGATTTGGGGGCTCATTAGCAATATGAAGTCAGCTATAATCTTGCATCTTGTTTTCCTGCATATTTGGTGAAGGAAAGAGAAAAGAGAGGAATGTGATCATAGAAAAAAGAGGAAACCACTGAGGATCTGAGGCATCTGTGGGAAATGGAGGAGCACAGGAAGAAAAATTGGAAATATTAACACTGTGTACCCAGAATACAATCTCCACTACTACCACTCTGGTCTGAGCCACCATCACCAGCAATCTCCCTTCCTTCTCATTACTGCAGTAGCCTTCCAACTGGTCTCCTTGCTTCTATCCTTGGCTTCCTTCTGTCTCTCTTCTTATTCGTGCAGTCTGAGTGCTCCATTTACAACTTAAGTTGGATCATTTCATCTCTCTATTCAAAACTCTCCAATGGCTCAGTCTTACTCAAAATAAAAGCTAAAGTCCCTGCAAAGGCACGCAAGGCCCTACAGAATGTGCCCATTACTTCTAACTTCCTCTCCTACTCACTTGAAATAAATGCTGAAGTCCTTAACTGTGGCATACAAGTCTATAAATGTGACCATTGCCCTCTGACCTCTTCTATTCTCCCCTTCACTCTAATCTCTTCAGCCACGCTGACCCTCTTTCTCTTCCTCCTTACGTCCATTTCCATTTTAGGGCCTTTCCACTGGCTGTTTCCTTCACCTCAAGCTATTTCCGTAGCCAATAATCTTGCCTCTTTCAAGTGTGTTCTTATATGTCATCTTCCCAAAGAGGTCTGCTCTAAGTACCTTATTTAAAATTGCAACTTACTCCCTCCTTCCAATCCTGATAGGCCTTACCTTCCTTTATATTAATTCTTCTTTTTCTCAATAACACTTTAGCACTTTCCAACATGGTGCATAAATTACTTATATTACCACATCTATTGTTTATTGTCATTCCATCCTCGCTAAAATGTAGGCTCCTAGGCTCCACGAAGGCAGGGATTTTTGTCTGTCTTGTTCACTGTTGTACTCCCAATATCTAAATTAGTAGGCGCTGAATTAAAAATTGGCTGAATGAATGAATACAAGAATGGATGCTGTAGAGAAGAATAAAAAGAACGGTCAGGGGCGCCTGAGAGCGAGAGGAAGTAAGAAAAATGGGCGGGAAAAGCCCTGTCTGGGGGAGGAAACCGCAGCTATTCCCTTCCCAAATCTGGCCCCAAAGCCCTCCACCACCGCCACCCGCCCCTACCCCGGGTCCCCCAGGGAAAGGATGTATTTAAGTGAGGCCGACTCCCCCCACTCGCCCCCGGCCTGCTCGGGACCCGGGTGGCAACTCAGGACCCCCAGGCTGCAGATCCCCTCCCGCGCCCACTCGAAACACGAACCTTCCCATCGCTATTCTCCCCAAGAGATGAGAAACCCCAAAGCAGACCGGCTCTACTTCCTAGTCGGCCACTCATCATTTCCGGTGATTTTCTAGGAAACACCTCAACTCTCTGGTCGTGGCGTTCCCTAGAAACCCCTCGCGTCCTCTAGGAGTCTGCGCTGGTGGACTCAGGGTGGAGGCTCAGGGCGGCAGAAACGTTACCAATCGGCTCATTGTGGTCGTGGAGGGGAATCTGGATAGGAATGGACGGAAGTTTTATGACAAATATATAAAACAGTTACTTTTAAATATAACACACATAATTTAATGTGTTTTTCAAAAAAAAAAAATCATTAAGACCATTTTAAACCTACACAAAAATTTAGAGTATAATGAACCCCCATATACCCATCACTCAGGTTTAAAAGTAAATAAGATTTTTTTTTAATTTTCCTATGAGCTTTTTAAAACAAAATTTATCAGTACACAATACAGTTGATTTTTGTGTCCCTTTATCAATTCCTCCTTTTTCTCCCGCCCTCTCCCCCCTTCTCCTCATCAACATCATATCTGTTCACGTGTCTTAACAAAATCAAGGAGTTATCATTGTTGTGGCTTCTTCCCTCCCCCCGACCCTGTTCGTTTATTTATTTTTGTTATAGCTCCCACAAATAATTGAGAACATGCGGTATTTTGTTTCACCTCTCTATTCCATTTTTCTTGCTGAAATATTTAAAGCAAAGCCCTAACATGTTATTTCAACTTTGTTATATATCTCTTAAAAATATACTTTTTTTTTTTTTTTTTTTTTTTACAGAATTACAGTGTCATTATGCCATCTAATTCTTTGTTATCTAATGCCGGGCACATATTAAATTTCCCTAAATATATACATATGCTTCTTGCAACAGTTGTCTTTTTTGACTCAAGACCTAAAGTCTAAACGTTTAATTTGGTAATATGTCTTGATTCTTTTTTATTCAGATCTAGAACAGTTTGTTTTTCTGTCTTTCACTTTCTCCCCTTCTCCCCTGTCCCCACAATGTAATTGACTCATTGAACAAATTGCGTCGTTTGTCCTGAATGTTCTACATGCTGGCTTTATCTGTTTGTGTCTTCATTTGATTTGTTTTTTGGCCAGCCGCCCAAAGAACCACGCTCTAACCAACTGAGCTAACCAGCCAGCCCCTCATTTGATTAGTTTCTCTAACCTTGTATTTCCTGTAAACTAGATGTTAGCTTTAAAGGTTTCATTAGAGTTGTTTAACTTTTTTGGTAGAAATTCTTCTTAGGTGGTGCTACGTATTTCTTTTTGCTGCACAGTAGGAAGCATATAATGTTTCACTCTTTGTGATGCTAAAATTGATTAAAAGGTTGAATACCGGATAGCTGGATCCTTCTGTGTAAAGTTCCCCATCAACCTTTCATCTGATGGTTTCTCCCACTGATGATCCTTGCCAGAATCAACCATTTCATTAGGGGTTGTAAAATTGTGATTTTCTAATTCAAATTTTTTTCCCCACATTTATTAGCTAGAATTTTTTGTAAAGAAGGACTTTTTAAAATCAATCTATCAATTCAGGGCTATTTGGTTATCCTGAAACGTAATTCGTACAGGAAACACAGAATGTTTAATTTTTAACCTAATTGCTGCTTTTCAAAATAAGCAGTTGTGCCCCAGTGACATGTGGTGACCAGTGATGTGGTGACAGTCCTCTGAAATGGCCACCAATGAGCTCTGCCTTCCAGTATTCACACCCTTGTAAATCCCCTTCCCACACTGTACCAGGGTTGGTTTGTATAACCGATTGAATATGGCAGAAATGATGCTATGTTATTTCTAATATTAGGTTACAAAATAATCTAAGGCTCCTGTCTTAGTCTCTCTCCCCCTCTTTCTCCCACTCTCTTTCTCCCACTTTCTCTTTCTCCCCCTCACCCTGGGGGACAGCAGATGCCGTGTTGTAAGGAGAAGCACCTGTGGGGAGGAACTGAAGCCTCCTGCCCACAACCATGTGAGTTTAGAAGCAGATCTTTGAGCAACAGTCTAGCCTTCACATTACTGTGGCCGTGGGTGACATCTTGGCTACAACGGACCATAGACCCAGAACCATCAGCCAAGCTGCTCCCAGATTCCTGATCTGCAGATACTGTGAGATAATAAATGTTTGATGTTTGGTTCTACATTTGGGGGTAATTTATTATGCAGCCATTGATAACTAATACAAATTATTTTGTTTCCTCTTTTTGAGTATTGTTATGAACTTGTGATTTTTTTAAAAAATACATTCAATGAGGGCCGGCCCGTGGCTCACTCGGGAGAGTGCGGTGCTGATAGCACCAGGGCCACGGGTTCAGAGCCCATATAGGGATGGCCGGTTAGCTCACTGGGTGAGCGTGGTGCTGACAACACCAAGTCAAGGGTTAAGATCCCCTTACCGTTTATCTTTAAAAAAAAAAAAAAATACATTCAATGAATTTCAGTCAATTGCCATCATTATTTTTTTTTGATATCCAAATTATTTCATCTTTGGTCAGTGGGAATACCTTCATTTTATCTCCTGTGTCCTTTTCATCCAACTCTAAGGGTCTTTGATAGGTTTTTTCCTTTCTGGGAGGATGTTTCAGACACATTTTGTACATTTTCCTGCTCCAGACCTGGTACCAGCCATTTCTCCAAAGAGTTCTGATTCCTTTCAGTGGGGGCAAGGATTCTGTATCTTTGTGAATGGTCATGGTTGACTTCTTTTAAAGTTTGAAATAAGTTATATTTGCTTAATTATGGGATTAAATACAGGGTTGCCTTAGGTTGAATGTCCCCTCCAAACTCAATTCCCACTTGAGTTTGTAACTGTTACGGGTGGGAAATCCTATTATGGTAATCAAACGGTAGGGCTTTGGAGAGGTGATTGGATTGTAGGACTATGCCTAGTAAATAGATTAAAAATGGTGCTCATGGGTGTGGTTCTGAGGGCTTTAAAAGGAGAGTAAATGAGGAGGTTAGTCTCTCTCTCCTTCTCTGCTCTGCCATTTGAGGCCCTTGGGTCATTGTCACTACCAGCAAGGCCTCCACCAAATGTGTTCCCTGGACTTTGGACTTCCCAGCCTCCGAACTGTAAGCAATAAATTTTGTTTTCTTATAAATTACCCAGTTGCAGGTGTAGTAGATTGAATTATGTACCCCTAAAACTCATTGAAGCTTGAATTGTGTCCCACAAGTTTTATGTATTAGAAACTTAGCCCCCACTGTGACTGTTAAGAGAGTGGGAAATCCTATTGTGATAATTGAAAGGTGGAGCCTTAAAGAGCTGATTGGATTGTAGGACTGTGCCTTAGTGAACGGTTTAAAGATGGTGGTCAGGGGCATGATCCTGAGGGCTTTAAAAGAAGAGGAGAGTCTGTCTTTCTTGCTCTGTCTTGCTCTCTCTGCTTCCACCATCTTGTGAGACCCCTAGGTCACTGCTGCCACCACCAGATGGACTTTGGACTTCCCAGCCTCTGAAACTGTAAGCAATAAATGCTGTTTTTCTTTATAAATCACCCAGTTTCAGGTATTTTTTTTATAAGCAACAGAATTGGACTTATACAAGGATATACCACTCACTACTGTGTGTATGAGAACTTAGGCAAGGTACTTCCCATATCCCAGTTTTCCCATCTGCAAAATGGGTCCAGTATAAATACCTAATTTTCAGAGTTATGAGGATTAAATGAGTTAATACATAGAAATCACTTAACACATTGCCTGGCATCAAATTTCATGATTTGAAGAATAGAATTACAAGCCTGGAAGATACTACAGTGGTCAAGTACACTTTCTTCATTTTATACTTGAGAGACTGAGGTCCAAGAGATTAAAAACTTGCCTAAAAATACAAAGAATAAAATTAGAAGGGAATCTAATGACTCCACACTCTTGAATCTCATACCTAGGTGATTTTGAATATAAATGCAGCCTTTCCAGCCCAGTAAAGGCTTCTGCTTATTCAAGAACAAAGGAGTTTAGAAAATATTTGGTGTTATGGAAAGTGCACCAATTTTAAGTTCGGAAGATCTAATTCCTGGACCTACAACTTGCTAGCTATGATATTCTGGACAAGTCACTTAACTCCTTTGCATCTCAATTGCTGAGTCTATAAAATAGTGAAAATAAATCCTTTATGCACAAGGTCATTGTGAGTGTTAAAATACAATATATTATAATATACTATTACTTAATAATCGCTAAATAAAGATCATTATACAAAAAAAAAATTCTTCACTCCTTCAATTTAATAAAATTTCATTTTCCTCCTTTAGAGGATATCAGTGTTTTGACTTGAATGATCCCCAAGGATACTAAGTCTATAATTCTGTAAATGAGTTTAGTGAATACTGTGCAAAGGCACTGTGCAGGGGCTGCAAAACAGATGCTTATGAATCACCTATCCTCCAGGCTGACTGGGTACAGTTTTTCTTCCCAATATTAATGTACTTAAGAGTACTGACATCCAGTTTACATATCTTCGCGGGGTGCATTCATGGGAGAGTTTGCCATAACTTTGCTGACATAAAGGTATTTTACTTCCACAGCAGACCCTTAGCATACCACTTTAATAATCTACTCCAGTTGAGATAAATTTATTTATGCTACTTGTTCTTGGCTAACCCCAGTTGCTCATAAAAGATCTCCTAAAATAATTAATACTGGAATTTTGCCAGGAGTCCATGTCAAGCTTTTCGGCCTGGTAATTACACAGTTCGCCTTTTTTTACTTTTTGAAAATTTGGATATTTGACAGTCTTGGGCATCTGTCATACTCCTCAAAAATGGCCTTCAGGGGTCCCATGGCCAATCTGCCTGACTTTTAGGATGCTTCAAGGTTGGCATGAAGGTTTGTATTCACTTACGGCAAGTACTTATTCTTTTACTATCTTTTTCATATTAATGTATGTCTACCATTCCCAGTTTGAAGATCATGACCATTGATGGAGAAATAAAAGGCTGATAGGTGTTAAGTAATTTTATGGCCCCTCTGCCATCTGTAGAAATTACCAAATTCATTTCCTGGGGCTTTCCAAAAAAATAGCAAATTTCAAGCATACCAAAGAATAATATAAGGAACACTCAACACCTAACTTGACATAAAATATTACAGATGCAATGAAATCCCCTTATCTACCCCTCCCCAATTCCTTCCCCCTTCCTTCCCAGGTTAACTACTACTCTGATTTTAATGTTATTAGTCCCATGCATGTTTATATATTTTTAATACTAATGTAGGTAGCCACAAACATTATGTTTTACAAATTTTACACAAATAGTTTCACTCTGAACATATCCTTTCAGCTTGAAAGCTTTGATTTTATTTAGGTTCAATATTTTTGGCAAGAATACTTCATAGAGGTTACTATGTACTTTGTACTCAACTTTATGGTTTTGAGATTTATCCTCTATGAAATATGTAGCTCTAGCTCATTCACTTTAACTGCCACAGGTCTTTTCCATTTTCCTTCCAATAATCTTGTTAACTAACCTGATTATTTTTCCAGTATAACCCAGAACTTAGCAAGTATTTGCTTTTAGTCTTTGATTACATGGATTTCATTTCATTTATATCGGCTTTTTGAAGTAATTTTTTGACTTTCCCTTTCTAAAAGGATAATTTTCTATAATTTTATCATAGAAAGTTTACATTCTAATGTAGGAAAAAAAATGTAAAAATTGTTTACCACACAGAGGAAACTTAAATGCATATTTCCAAGTGAAAGAAGCCAATCTGAAAGTCTACATACTGTATGAGTCCAACTATATGATATTCTGGAAAAGGAAAAACTATGGAGACAGTAAAAAGATCAGTGGTTGCCAGGAGTTGGGGGGGGAGGCGAGCACAAAGGATTTTTAAGGCAGTGAAAATACTCTGTATGATACTTCAGTGGAGGATGTATGTACATTTGTCAAAACCCATTGATTGTACAACACCAAGAGTGAACCCTAATATAAACTACGGACTCTGGGTGACAATGATATGTCCATGTAGGCCCATCAGTTGTATCCAATGTACCATTCTGGTTGGGAATGTTGACAGTGTGGGGGCTAATGCATGAGCAGGGTCAGGGAGGATATGGGAAATCTCTGTACCTTCAGCTCAGTTTTGCTGTGAACCTAAAACTGCTCTAAAAAATAAAGTCTATTACAAAAAGGTATTTGCCACTTTCTCAAACTTTTAAATATATCCTTTATGCTTAACCTTATTATCTACATATATTGAACATTTTCTGTTCAAGTTTCTGCCGTTAATCATTATGTTGAAATATAACATAATGAAAATACATTACAGAAAAATACCATATATTGGAAATATATTTTGGAAAATACAGGATACATTATTTCTAATACATGCTTGTGGGTCTTCATAATCATAAAAATTATAACACATTTAAATGTATATGACACAAAGTTCTCTTTTAAATAGAGCTACTAAGAAGAGGCAAATGCTATTATTAGTCAAAGCTGCTTTGCGGCAATTTTTTTTCAGACCCATTTCAAGTCATCCATTCATCAAGTATTTCTACAGCAACTGTTCTAAGAGCTTGAAATACACGAGTGGACAAAACAATTAAAGATCTCTGCCCTGTGGAGCTTATATTCAAGTAATTCTGATTAACTCGTGCTTCCATTTTCTCTTTGTTTCATCTCTTCGTACACTAAAGAAGGCAAATTTCATATTCAGGTAAATTAGGTGCAACAGTCCCAAACTAGCCAAGGTGCGATTCAGACCCCTCAGCTTAGGGTCTGCAGGGCTGGACCACAGAGAAGAGTCATCCCCACGTCCTAGAAGGGCGAGCAGCGCGTTACCATGGAGACCGCGGAGTGGAAAAACGCAGTCCGCGCTCCAAGGCTAAGCTCCGCGTCTACGAGTTCTGGGTGGGGTCGTAGGTCCTTCGACCTCACCTGGGGGCCCTTCGGGCTCCTTCGGCCCCACTACTTGGAAGTCGTGACCCGAAAGGCTGGTGGAGAAGCTGCGGTCGCCGGAAGGTCTGTGCCGCGGCGTCCGGGGTCCAGGCCGGGAGCGGCTCGCGAGGCGTCTGGGGCGGGGCGGGGCCTGCGGCGGGGTGGGGTGTAGGAGGGGGTCCCACCTGCCAAGGCATGTTTTTCTTTTCCTCTTCTCGTCTGTTTTTCTCTCCTCCTCTTGCTCCTCTGCTTTAAGCCGTCCTTTAATAATAAACATTATAAATTTTATTTGGGAAACACTTGAATATAGCGTGCTTATTCTGGGTCAGGTCTGTTTGTAAGTGCTTTGTGTGTATTAACTCATTTAATCCTCAATCCAATGGGTTAGTACTATCATTATCCCAATTTTTAGATGGGCAACCTGAGACCTAGAGAAGATAAACTTGCCCACGGTGTCACAGCTGGTAAGTTGAAGATAGGAACCCAAGCATTTTGGTGCCTGCATCTGTTTTCTTGAACAGAACACTAGACCGCCTCCACTAATCCTTAAATTTTGATCAGAGCTTTAACTTTCTTCTTCTCTGCTAATTTCTTTTCCCTTTAGGCTACGCGATTCTTTAGTGATTTTTAATTATCGATGTGGAACTGCTCCCATTCTTGGATCCTTCTCTCTCTTTCTCTTTCCTTTCTCCGACCTTTTCTTGCAGGCTAATAATGTGAAATGCAGAGTGGGGCCTCTGAACTTTCCTCGAATCTAAAGAAATACTATCGATGGATGCAAAATGCAGAGCATTTCCTGCCCCTTGGCTCAAAATGTCAGCAACTCTGGAGAAGGCACTTATCTTTGATCAGTGTTCGCAGGGGTGTGGCTCACTTGAGGAGTCCTGTCCCCTTGAGAGGCAGGCCCTGGACGTCCTACCTGGAGAGAGACAGGACTGGATGTGGGTACATGACTCTCCTAGCAGAGAGGTCATAGAAGTGAGGAGAGATGGAGAGCGAGATCTGGATGGAGAACAGGTAAAAGGAGGAAGTGTCTCTACTGGCCAGGGGAGAAAAACAGTGAAAAATGTGAATTTCTTAATAGCTAAGGGAAGTGGGGGCAAAGCTCCTGAACTGAGATTCTTCCTTAACCTCTTTGTTACTGACTGTATTGTATTGATAGTCTTTATAGTTGCATGCTTTTGTAGGGAAGTCTATATGCCATCTCTGTCTTTTAAAATGGAGTGAAAATTGGATTGTCCCTATCTCTGCAGTCCAATCAGACTGCTCTTCATGCCTTTCCTGGGATTTTAAGTCTAACATCTGAACATTTCTTCCCTTTTGATGACATTCTCACATCTAGGCTCTATCCAGTGCCCAGGAAGGGCAGAGCTTGGCACGTGAGAAGATTTTAGCATCAACCTTGGATTCACCAGTTACCCAACAGTGGCCCACAGTCATCCAGCCTGAAAATGTCATTCCCTTTTCTTGGGTCCTGCAAAAGAGAGGTGGGGAGCTAGCAGTCATCCTGTTTATGGGGGGCAGTTCAGTAGAAAATGAGCTAGGGCATGGTACCAAAGAACTAGTTTTTAGATGTTATACACCTGAGTATTTTTTAAATAGACCTAAGCGAACATTGGGCTGTCCTCTAAGTGACTGAAAGCCACTCCTTAGCTGTTCCTGAAGCAGTTCCACCCCACTGTGGCTCAGGAGACTGGCTACCTTATCTCCTGAGGCAGGGGTCAGCAAGCTCCAGCCTGCAGGCAAAATGGGACCCATCACTTGTTTTTGAATGGCCCCTGAACTAAGAAGGGCTTTTACATTTTTAAATGGTTGAAAAAAAACACAAAAGAATTATAATATTTTATTACATTTAAAAATTATGAAATTTCTAATTTCAGTGTCCATAAATTTTATTGGAGCACAGCCATATTCATTTGTTTATATATTGCTTTTGTGCTATGACAGCAGAATTGAGTAGTAGTGACAGAGACTGTATGGCCTTCAGACTATAAATATTTACTAACTGTCACTTTATAGAAAATATTTTCCAATTACTCCCATCCTGGAGTGATCCACAGCCCATTCTTAAAAGTTGCCATGGAGATTGAACTTCCTGTTCCCAGCTGTTCCAAGCTTCATAGCTCTGTACTTATCCTCCTTTCCCCCAGAAAGCTCTCTCTGGGCAGCGTGATCCGTCAAGAAGGAGACGAGGAGACCAGTCTCTCAGGCTACAGCTTGGGGCAGTACTTGTGAAACTTCCTGGGTCAAATCTCTAAATATTAAGAACTTACTTGCATCCAAAGTCTGGATCTACTCATGAACCGTTGGGAAGACTGTCAGTGGGCCTGTAAACTGATTCCCACCCACAGTTAATAGGAGCTGTCTTCCCCAGGCCATCTTCATCCTTATAGTTCTTCTGTCCATAGAAGGCCTGGGAATGGCTGTCCCTTACTTGGCTTGTTAGATTAGTTTAGGTAGGGATCTCCTACTTAGATCCCTGGCTCTGGGCAGTAATAGAGAAAAAACTAGGCCTCAGGGTGAAGAGGGAAAGGAGTTGTCCCACTCCTACTAGGGGCTGCCATTGGTGGGGAAGTAGGGAAAGAACAGAGATAAGTTTGAGGAGAGGTATAGGGCTACATGCCAGGAACAACTTATATGATCCTGGTGTATCCTCATAACACCCCTTTTGTCCGATTAAGAAACCAAGACTCAGAGAGGTGAGGCCAGTTTAATTAGTTTGTATAGTTCTGTAGGCAGAGCCAAGACCTGAACTCCTGTTTCTCAGCTTTCAAAGGTCTGCTCTTTCTACTGATTGTATAGACTGGGTTTGGAATTTGCAGAGGGTGAGCTATTCACCACTGTCTTAGGCCTTTTTCTTACCAATTTATAGTTGAGTTTGGGAAATAACTCCCAGTTGGTGAATCACCTGATAATGTTATATGTATTGTTTGGGAAAAGTGCAGAAAGATTAGGAAAAGTTAAATGTTTTTCCTTGAGTAAGAGGAAAGATGTAACTTAAATGGGAATACAAAAGTGCTGCAATCACTGGGATTTGATGGAGTCACCCCAGGAAGGCAAGGTAGAGCTGAGGAAATGCCTATAAAAGAGGCTTGGGGAGAAGGTTAAGAAACTGTTATAATAGAAAAATCAACTTTTTTTTAATTAAATTTTTTCATTCTATGTGTTTATGGGGTACAGTTTATTGTTTCAGTACAGGTATGTATTGTGTAATGATCTAATCAAAATAGTTAACATATCTATCGCCTACACTTTTATCATTTGATCCTCTTTTCTGGCTATCTTGAAAAAAATCAGCTTTGAACTACCTCAGGTCAGTGTGTGTGGATTTGTTACTATACTAATGTTTGCTATGGAGGTCCTGCCTACTCTACTTTTAACCAAGGAATTAGCTATATGGCTTGTTAGATTAGTTTAGGTAGGGATCTCCTACTTAGATCCCTGGCTCTGGGCAGTAATGGAGAAAAACCTAGGCCTCAGGGTGAAGAGGGAAAGTTGTCCCACTCCTACTAGGGGCTGCCATTGGTGGGGAAGTAGGGAAAGAACAGAGATAAGTTTGAGGAGAGGTATAGGGCTACATGCCAGGAACAACTTATATGATCCTGGTGTATCCTCATAACACCCCCTTTGTCCGATTAAGAAACCAAGACTCAGAGAGGTGAGGCCAGTTTAATTAGTTTGTATAGTTCTGTAGGCAGAGCCAAGACCTGAACTCCTGTTTCTCAGCTTTCAAAGGTCTGCTCTTTCTACTGATTGTATAGACTGGGTTTGGAATTTGCAGAGGGTGAGCTATTCACCACTGTCTTAGGCCTTTTTCTTACCAATTTATAGTTGAGTTTGGGAAATAACTCCCAGTTGGTGAATCACCTGATAATGTTATATGTATTGTTTGGGAAAAGTGCAGAAAGATTAGGAAAAGTTAAATGTTTTTCCTTGAGTAAGAGGAAAGATGTAACTTAAATGGGAATACCAAAAGTGCTGCAATCACTGGGATTTGATGGAGTCACCCCAGGAAGGCAAGGTAGAGCTGAGGAAATGCCTATAAAAGAGGCTTGGGGAGAAGGTTAAGAAACTGTTATAATAGAAAAATCAACTTTTTTTTAATTAAATTTTTTCATTCTATGTGTTTATGGGGTACAGTTTATTGTTTCAGTACAGGTATGTATTGTGTAATGATCTAATCAAAATAGTTAACATATCTATCGCCTACACTTTTATCATTTGATCCTCTTTTCTGGCTATCTTGAAAAAAATCAGCTTTGAACTACCTCAGGTCAGTGTGTGTGGATTTGTTACTATACTAATGTTTGCTATGGAGGTCCTGCCTACTCTACTTTTAACCAAGGAATTAGCTATATAGAAGCCTATGAGGTATTTGGATTGGAAAATGCTTGCAAAATCTTTCTGCTCTTTACTTTTATTTATTTATTTATTTATTTATTTATTTATTTTTTTAAAAAGATGACCGGTAAGGGGATCTCAATCAACCCTTGGCTTGGTGTTGTCAGCACCAGGCTCAGCCAGTGAGCAAACCGGCCATCCCTATATAGGATCCGAACCCATGGCCTTGGTGTTATCAGCACCGCACTCTACCGAGTGAGCCACGGGCCGGCCTTGCTCTTTACTTTTATAAAGTGACATAAAACAGAACATAGTGATGATGAATAGAACAGTTATGCCTAAATAGCTTGGCTGTTATTGCAAGACTTTAGTTCTAAAGATTAGCTTATAGTTTATTGAGAAGGAAGGAATCTATGCTAGCATAGATATTTGAGGGAAGAGTCAAGAATGCCATGGTTTCTCTTGTTCAAGATAAATTAGGCTGAGGTGTAGTGGAGGCCATGGGGAGGCTACCAGGCTGGAGGAGTGAGTGTCGCCTAGGTGATCTCAGCCTTCTTGTGGCACTTCTTGTTTCTAAAACTGGTACTCTTCATAGATAGAGTGGTAGATGTGCAGGTTTAGATAGGATCATCAGAAAGTCTTTAAGGTGTCTGTCAAAATAACAGTAAAGCTACAGTGAAGGTTCAATGGTCAGGTTATTTGCATTTGCTTCTGTATTTTGCTGCACTTAAAGGGATCACAATCTGCATATCTGACTTTTTATTTTTAGCACATTTCTGCTCTGAGTCACGTACCAACTACAGTGATTGTAGAAGCCCTGGACTTCTATAAGATGTTGGGTTGCTCTGGGTGAGAAGCACTGGTTTAGGATCATACATGACCTCTCCATCTTTCTTACCTGCCTTGTACAATCAATTTCCAAAGCCTATTAATTTTACCTTTTAAATAATTCTGAACTGTGCTCCATCCTAGTTCAAGTCACTTTTATCTCTCACCCCCATATGGCAAAGATTTCATCTTGACAGAATAATTTGTGTGAAAAAATTAACCTCTAAGAAGGTGATGAAAGATAATGACCTTTTCCTTAGAAAAAATGCATATAGGCATGTACACACAATTTTGCACATCATTTAGAGAGATTCATATGCTCCTTGTAGCCTATCCAGTGGACTTCCAGGTTAAGAGCTCCCGATTTAGAGGATTCCTTCTTGACCAACACATAGCAAGTAGAGTCTCTAGACTGCAGAAAGTTAATCACTAATGGTGTGAGTCCCATACCATTTTGCCTTTATTTTCACGATAGTCACTATAATTATGGTTATATATGTGATTGTACTCAGGAACATGAATACTGAGGGTAGAGCAGGCAACTCAGAATCTGAGATCTTTGTTTCTAATGAAAATCTTTATCTTGGATTAGAAAAGGATCTGAAACTTTGGCCATGAGGAATTTTCCAGAAAGAGAGGTATCTTGAATACAAACTATTTATTTAAATTTTTATATTGAGCACCTACTATGTGCCAGGTACATAGTAAGTAGTATGTGTTCTAGTGCTGGAAACACAACAGTGTATAAAATAAAGTTCCTGTCCTCAGGGAGCTTATGTTATGAATGCTAAAAAATAAATGTGTATGTATGTGTGTATAGAAATAAAACAGGATTAATAGTAATGAGTTTCAGAGAAGATAGAGTGGTAGATGTGCAGGTTTAGATAGGATCATCAGAAAATCTTTAAGGTGTCTGTCAAAATAACGGTAAAGTTACAGTGAAGGTTCAATGGTCAGGATATTTGCATTTGCTTCTGTATTTTGCTGTATTTCCTTAACGGCCTATTTAGTTTTTGGCAAATACCATATGAAATATCTTCATGGTAAAAAGACATGCATCTTTTTCCTATTGTAGTTACTGATTTCACCTTAAATAGTTTATTATAGAAAGTCCTCATTCAGAGAGTGTGGCTAGGGATGTAATTGTAGCAGTCCAGTTCCTTACAATGGTAGAAGATTTGGCATCCTGTTCCAGTTCAGATGATGAAGGGAGAGAGATAAACAGACTGATTATAGTTTGTGGCTAGAAAGTGTGAGAATGAATAGGGTAAGGATCATCCTGAGGAATCAAGTTATCAATTGAGGGGAGATCTGGATGTAACGTACATTATCTGAGAAACAAGAGATTAGTTTCATCAGCTGGTAAGAGGCTGTTTGGCCCCAGCGTTCAGATAATATAGGATTTCTTATTTGGAGAGTTCTGTCAGAGAATTAGACAAAGGAATAGCTGGGATATTCCATTTTCTGTTTTATAGAATATTAAATAAATGATCTAAGCCAAATGGTTTTTAAAGATAAAATAGTAACATGTTTGGTAAGAGTATATGTATTGCCAAAGGCCAGCAAAGCTGTTTGATGAAACTCAAAAGCTCTAAACTGCTGGTGGGTTTGAGGAGGCACTGTGGGCCCTCATCTGGGAGCTGCAGGTGGGCCGTTGGTCCTGTCTGGGAGTAATATCTAGAACTAATATAGGACCGATATAGCTAGGAGAGGAGAGGCCAGCTTTCAGTTAAATAAGTCCTGTTTTCCTTGTCAGCCCCTTGTATACATGAAGCTAAACAATTCATCTATTCATTTATTTATTTCTCAACTCATTTATTCACATAATTCATACACTCATTTATAGAGCATATTTTAAGTGCCAGAGAATTATGCTGGGCAATAGAATTACAAAGTTGAAGAACATTTGGCTCAGGGCACTTTAGTCTTGTTGGGGAAACAAATCTGTGATAACAATCCACTGTGACAGAAACATGTACACTGTGCTGTGGGAGTGGGGTCAGAGAATACTGCTATTCAGACTTGAAGAGAGGCTATTAGAGGGTTTCTGGATTAGCTGATAAAGCAGAGTTCAGGATCTGTGAAGATGTGAATTTGGAAATGAAAGTATGGGGTAACTTTAGGGTTTGAACGGGTTTTCTTTCTAAGTACCAGGCAATGTGAAAGGAGAATGGATTTATTGTGGATGAAGGCAGGTTAACAGTGAAGTAGCACAAAGGCCAGTGAGTGACCCTAAAGGTTCACAATGAGCTAGCCATATCAAAGGAATGAAAAAAAGAAAATTCTGCAAGGGACCTGTTGAGAAAATAGAATAGTTTAATCAGGTCCCCTCTCCTTAGGTCAGGTTGGGGGTGGTGCAGCATTCTTTGTACGCAAGTTGTGTGTGGGAGGAGTTAGTGTGCATGGGCGGCCCGCAGTTTTGCCTGGGCCATCGGCCTGGGGCATCAGCCCACACGGCCATGCTCTCCAACCCACGGCTTCCAAGGACCTGTTTGCCGATTACCTAGCTCATAGACGGGCGTGTGAGGGGTCTGGTGACCCAACCTGGCATGTGAAGGGTTTGTGACCCAGTCTGGAACACGGGCTTGAGGGGTCTGTGAGCTCCAGACCCAGCCCTAGCTCGACAATTGGCCCAGTCAACTGCAGGATTATGGGTAGATAAAAGAGCACTACAGGACCTATTAAATATGTTTTAAATTTTTGTGAGGCTTTTTGTGTAGCAAATGACTGTATCCATTACATACTACTTGTATGTAGTTTGCACCTTGGTATCTCTTCAGGTTGTAGTAGAAAAGGTATGCCATAATAGATATAGAGGGGAGAAAGTCTGATTAAAAAAATAAAGGGGGGAAATTGCTGAATACTAGGATGCAGTTGATTCCAGAAGTTTGACTTGAGAAGTCTTTGAACTTTTGTGATGGATGGTGTCAAAGGTAAACACAGCCAAACATTAAAGTGGTGAAAATAGGTTTTATTCAGTAACTACTGACAGTAGGGGAAAGAGCTGAGTTCCATTCCGATTTGGGGAGGGGGGAATACCCAGGCTACATTGAGTGAGAGAAGTGAAAAAGTACAGAGTTGGTCAGCCTAAATAAGTTGAGGTCAGCTGTGTTTGTTAGCTGGCAACTCCCAAAGTTAGAATCTTGTCCTCCCACGGAGATTGGGAGACAGAAGTCTTATCCTTCTTGATTGCATTTCAAAGTAATGGCTCTCAGGTCCTTTTGAGATACTTCTGAGTTGCAAGAGATCCATATTTACAATTGTAACCCCTTTTTGTAAATATTCTAAGAAAGGGAGGTCGGGGCTTATCACTGGTGTTGGCCAGAACAAATAGTAAAATTTACTGGCAGTGGTAAACTTTCTCAGGTTGGCATTTTAATTGGGGGGTGGGGGGAGAGAAGCGGGACGGGGTCATCCTAGGGAGACAGCCTTACGCTGCTAGAAGCCATGATAGAGTTTGGTCAAGTCTTTTAGTGCAGGGGTTTGGTTGGAGTCATTAGTGCTGAGAGTTCTGCAGTTCTCAGCAGCGGTATGTTACAAAGCAAAAGTAATGGCCTGGCCAGTGAGCTGTTTGCTTAAGGGCTGCTCCAGTAGAGCATCTGTGTGAGACTGAACAGAACTTTAGTGGGAAAGCCCTAAGCATATATATGAAGGTTAGAGATCATTTTAGTTTGTTAACACAGATTGAATAGATGATGAAAAATGAGGTGAGAGCTACCAGAGAAGCTAATTGAGTTGAGAGCAGGTTCAACATGGCAGTGGAGTTCTAGTTTCTGTTTTTAGAACACATTTGGATAGGGTTCATAGATTCAGGGGAAGAATCATTAGCAGAAGAGGGTGGTCTTATTGAAGAATTGGCCTTCATTGACTGCATTGATTACTTTCTCCTCTCTCAGCATCTGCTTCCCCTGCATCTGCCTTGGATTGTGTGAATTGTCAAGGAGACAGGACACAGGAAGAGGTACCATTGATAAACTATCCCCAGGTGAGCTCTGTTGTCCTCTCTTCTTCCTGGGAGTGATTATTTTCTCTGAATAAAGCCAGTTGTAATTTCCACCCTCAATCAAGGTGGTCTTTGACTATCATTTAAAAAATTTAGATGTTTAATCCTCACTAAATGGGGTTTATTTGATGGTTATACCCTGACCCCCTTAATGTTTTCTCTGTTGTTCCCCTCCATTCTTTCCATAATCTTAATGAGGGTGATAGCACTTTACTCTAGCAAGGTCTCCTTGTTTATTTTATTGAAGTCATTATTGTATTATTCCCGGGACGGAAACTATTTGTTGTTTCAGGAGCTGGTGATGTTTGAAGACATAGCTGTGTATTTTACCCAGAAGGAGTGGATGTGTTTGATCCCTGCTCAGAGGGACCTCTATAGGAATGTGATGCTGGAGAATTATGAGAATTTGCTTTCTCTAGGTAAGGACTCTATTCATTCTTTTTGGTTCTGCTTTACTTCTTCATGTGTCAATGCCCAGTACTAGTTTGATAAGGATCATGCCTCATCTTTTTGGCCTCCTGGGAGAAGAGTGTCTTGGGACTTTCTTCAGGTTCAGAGATAGAATTTTTTCTCTCCAGGCCTAGTTTGGTGGAACTAGGTTGTATGTGCCCATGGAGACACTGTTTCCTTTGCCATCCTTGAATTCTGGTGAAACTCATCCTTTAATTCCTCCCAGCTCCACCAGGTTAGAGACTCTCCTATTGAATCCTACTGCACATAATCCATCATAAAGAATTTCATTTTCTGTAATGAAAAGAGGGCAGCCTACCTAAATGTGTCTGCCTTTCAGGGACCAGAAATCTGATTTTCTGATTTGGTTCCCTTCATCCCTGTGCTGTGTTTACATATTTTTGTTGTTGTTATTGTTTTTTTTATTGAAGGGGGGTAGTTTGTTGAGAATAACATGTATACAGAAAAGTAACACAAGTTATAAGTGTACAGCTTGATGAATTTTCATCAAGTAAAAGCTCCCACATAACTTTCCCAGATTAAGAAACAGAACATTATCTGAACCTCAGAAGCCTGTTCCTTTGTGCCCTTTTCAGGGAATATTTTTGTCTCCCTAACTCCACTTCAGTTAGTGATTTTCGTGATTTCTAACATGATAGATTACTTTTGCCTGTTTTTAAGTTTTAGATAAATGGAATCAAATAGTATGTCCTCTTTTGTGTTTGGCTTCTTTCACTTAACATTATACTTGTAGTGTTTATTTATTTTTTTTGCCAGTGGTTGCAGTTCATTTATACTCATTATTTATATTGTTCCGTTGCGTGAAAATATCACAATTTATCATTCTACATTTGAGTTGTTTTCAGATTTGATTATTCAAAGAGTGCTGCTATGAACATTTTTGTACATGTCTTTTTGTGAAAATATGCATGCATTTCTGTTGCATTTATGACTAGGAATGGAATTGCTGGGTCATAGAATATGCCAAACAAAGTAGTTATACAAATTTAGACTCCAAGTAGCAGTGTTTGAGACTTCTAGTGCTGCATATGTTTGCTGAATCTTTTCATTTTGGCCATTATGGTGGGTGTGTAATGGTATCTCATGTGGTTTTGATTTGCATTTCACTGAGGCCTAATGAAGTTGCACACCTTTTCAAATATTTACTGGCTGTTTAGACATATTTTGTTAAGTACCTGTTGTTTTGCTGTACTTTTAATTGGTTGTCTTCCTTTTTCTTTTTGATATGTTAAGAGTTATTTATATGTTTTGATGCTCTGAGGACATTTTAATTTCAGCTATTACTTACTCTCTGCTTATCTATTCCCTCTGATCTTTATTGACCTCTTACTGACCATAAATCTAGGACTAAGCTTTGGAGTAGCTTTATTTTATTTTATTTATTTATTTATTTATTTATTTTTTTATAAAGATGACCGGTAAGGGGATCTTACTTGACTTGGTGTTGTCAGCACCATGCTCACCCAGTGAGCTAACCGGCCATCCCTATATGGGATCCGAACCTGTGGCCTTGGTGTTATCAGCACCGCACTCTCCCGAGTGAGCCACGGGCCGGCCCAGGAGTAGCTTTATTTTAATCTCCAGGTAATTATATCCTGTTACCTTCCCTATAAGGAGCATTCCTATTTCCCAAACCTGCCGTGATCTCCCAGCTGGAGCAAGGTCAGGAATCCTATGTTCTTGATCTACAGGGAGGTGAGTTAAGAGAGACTCCAAGAAGCTCCTGTGCAGTCAGCACCACGCCCACCCAGTGAGCAACCGGCCATCCCTATATGGGATCCGAACCTGTGGCCTTGGTGTTATCAGCACCGCACTCTCCCGAGTGAGCCACGGGCCGGCCCAGGAGTAGCTTTATTTTAATCTCCAGGTAATTATATCCTGTTACCTTCCCTATAAGGAGCATTCCTATTTCCCAAACCTGCCGTGATCTCCCAGCTGGAGCAAGGTCAGGAATCCTATGTTCTTGATCTACAGGGAGGTGAGTTAAGAGAGACTCCAAGAAGCTCCTGTGCAGGTGAGTCATAAAGGACCTAAGAGTTTGTACCTTATGTTCTCTCTTTCTTTATCTTGGTAACTTAAGGACACATCATATAGATCATTCCCAGTTACTAATCCTGCACTTAAAATCTTCCAGAAGGAAAAACAGAACAACTAAACACTGGAGTTTCAACCTGTCATCACTCAAAAGCATATGGATCCCTTGCTTCTGGCTCACTTTATTTTTACTGCTTTTCTTAAAAGTGTATAATTCCCCTTTTTTTGTACTCTTAAACCACTATCCTTAGTCTTCCCATAGGCCTGGTGATTGTCAGCTCTGTACTGTGGTATCTTCAACCCAATCTTCTTTGATGTTCTCTCAGCTTTGTTTTCAGAAGACATAATGGTCTACTAGAAAGTATTTTCCTGGGTGACATCTGAGGACCACCTGCATTTGAATCAGTGGGAGAGCTTATTAAAATAGAGATTCCTGGGTGTCACCAGGGGTCAGGCTGGAATATTTATTTTTATGAGCTCCCCATGTGATGTGCCCTCTAAATTTTGAGAAGCACTGTACTAGACTGTGAGCTTGAAGTGAAGGCCTGTGGTTATCCCCAGGACATGATAATAAATAGTTTATGTTTAATAAGTATTTGTTGCAGGATCACAGAAAAAGCCCATGGGTATACCAGTCTCTTATTTCAGGTGTCAGAGCTATGTCTAGAGTTTGTAGACAATATAATGTTACAATAATGTTGTGTTTATATGGAGGATACACTTAGTTTGGATTTTGATAGAGAGTTATTCATGGATATAAAATATGTAGAGTTTATGGCAGGAGAGACCTTACATTCTTGTTAGGGAAACACAATAGATAGGTGACCTGATTAAGAGTTAAGAAAATAGCATGTATAGCAATGCAATTGGTACAGGGTGAATGATAATTTCTCAGAGAATTAAAAGACAACTCAGTCCTCATTTGATCAGAGTTGTATCAGAGTTAATCAGGGGAGGTTTCCTGTAGGAGAGGAGTTTAGAGTTATACTCATATCATCTTGAAAGAAGATACTGAAAATAATCTTAACAGCTAGAAGAGAATAGGTTAAAAGTGAGGTGTATGACGGTGGGCCAGGCTAAAAAGATTTCCTTGAGTTACATTTCATTCCTGATCCCCTAAGATGGGATTATTGGAGGTATAACCTGTTTTCTAAGCTCTGTTTTGTTCAGTTTGGAGGGCACTCTAAAGTTATAAATCCCTGTCTTTTTTCGTGACCGGTACTCCCAAGCGCCGCACTCTACCGAGTGCGCCACCGGGCCAGCCCAAAATCCCTGTCTTTATTAGCTTAGACTTTTCCATTTACTGTTTTGCTACATAGTTTATTTCCTTTTATTTCTTACTTCATCTCGTTCTTTTTTGTCTTTCTTAGATAACTCTATTGCAATATTTTTTATTAAATATCTGTTGGTTCTTGCTCCATAGTATTTCAACAATTTTTAGGCTTAGAAAATTTCTCATCACAGCTCATTGTTCGTCCATGTGATCACCATTCACTTATTTTTCCACATTAGGGCAGTAAACAAGTGACATTTTCTATTTTTCTCTTTTCCCTTTCCTCCCTCCTTTCCTTCCTTTTCCTTTTGTTCTTTATTTTTTTTTAAGTGTCAAGTGTTAAGACTAAGATTGGGGGTGAGGAATCAACTGAGAAACTTGAAAAACTAAGTTTTGGAAATGAGGAGTCACACTGGGTCATCCTGAAAAATGCCCAGAAGAATCATGGTGGAAAACCCACAGGAGAAACATTGAAAATTAAGACTGGAAATTCTGGGGAGGTGAATGACAGAACTAAGAAAATTCTGATCGACGTGTCAGAACGAAAGGGTAAAGATTTAGAGGAAAATTTACATATAAGCTCAGAATATCTCATGTACAAGAGAGTTCCTAATGAGCACAGTTTCTGTGAATGTAGTGCAGGTCATGAAAATGTCTGTTGGCAGTCAGACCTCATTCTCTATGATAAAATGCATACCAAAGAGAAACCTTGTGAATGTGATGAATGTGGAAGAGCTTTCAGGGTGACCTCAGCCCTCACCCTACATAAAAGAATCCATAGTGGTGAGAAGCCTTATGCATGTGAAGAGTGTGGGAAGGCCTTCAGCCAGAGCTCTGCCCTAACCCAGCACAAAAGAATCCACAGTGGGGAGAAACCATATATGTGTGACCAGTGCCACAAAGCCTTCAATGGGAGCTCAGATCTTATTAAACACAAGAGAATTCACACTGGAGAGAAACCTTATGAATGTGGGGACTGTGGGAAATCCTTCAGGAATATCTCAGCCCTCACTGAACACCACCGAATCCACACTGGAGAAAAGCCTTTTGAATGTAATGAATGCTGGAAAGCCTTCAGTAGCAGGTCAGCCCTTTCTCAGCATAAAGGAATTCACAATGGAGGGAAGCCTTATAAGTGCAGTGACTGTGGGAAAGCCTTCAAGACCAGGAACTGCCTTACCATGCACCAAAAAATCCACACTGGGGAGAAGCCTTATGAATGTACTGAGTGTGGCAAGGCCTTCCAGTTTAGACACTGTCTTACTGTCCATCAGAGAATCCACACTGGAGAGAAACCCTATGAATGTGCAGAATGTGGGAAGGCCTTCAGTGGGAGTTCAGACCTCACCAAACACAAGAGGATCCACACTGGAGAAAAACCCTACCAGTGTGCTGAGTGTGGGAAGGCTTTCAGTTGCAGCTCTGACCTTACCAAACATAAAATAATTCACACTGGGGAGAAACCATATAGTTGTCACCAGTGTGGGAAGGCCTTTGGTGGGAAGTCAGATCTTACCAAACACGAACGAATCCACACTGGGGAGAAGCCTTATGAGTGTCAAGAGTGTGGGAAAGTGTTTAGTTATAGCTCAGGCCTTAGGCACCACAAAAAAGTCCATACTGGGGAGAAACCCTTTACATGTAATGAATGTGGGAAGACCTTTCATCAGAGCTCAGAACTTAATGTACACGAAAGGGTCCACACAGGAGAAAAACCATACAAATGTGAAAAGTGTGGGAAAGCTTTCAGAGTGAGCTCAGATCTCAATGGGCATAAAATAAGAAAGCATACTGAGGAGAAACCCCCTGAATATGAAAGTGAAAAATCATTAAGTCCAGTGTCCTTCCCTCAGTCTCATTCACACCTGCCTACCTGCAGCATTTGACACCAGGGAATCCTCACTTGTTTGGGGGAACTTAACCCTGTATAATATTGTATCCTTTGTCCTTGTATTCCCAATTGCTCTTTCCTTATCCTACTTATTCCCATAGCTCTTAATAACTTCTAGTGTACTATATACTTTAATTATAATGTTTATTATGTGTATTATCTTACCCCTCTGCTAGAGTACAAACTCCATGTGTGCAGGCAACTTTGTCTCTTGTTCACTGGTGTGTTATTGTAAGCTAGAATCTTGCCTGGTAAATGGTGGGGATGTGGTTGAGGGGGAAGGGGAGGAAGCACATTAAATATTTTTTGAATTAAATGAATTACTTGGTTTCCTTATACACTTTTTCTGGGTTCTTCTTTAGTGTTTCTGGCTGTTCCTTTCCTCTTGCCTTTGCTGACTCCTCTTGGTCACCTCTTCCCTAAGTTGTGGCTGTGCATCACACCCTCTGTTCTTTAGGCAAGGAGCCTTCATTGCTTACATTGCTCAATTGCCTATACCTTCTTCTGACCTGTGCTCTAATCCTGTTTGACTGAATGATGCTCTGCTATCACCTCTATGTCAAAAATACGTTTAATGTAAATAAACTACACACATGCTATTTCTGTATTCAGTTGGGCATTTCAAGGCAAATCATGGAAGGAGAAAAATAAATATCTGTGTTTTTACCAATTTCTTGCTTGAAAGTCTTCTTCCTTTTATCTCAACAATGTCATCGAATAATGTCAGTGCTATATTTAAAATATCTCTTGAATCCAGTTCTTACCATCTAGGTCATGCTATTGGTCTCTCTGCTTGTACTATTGCCTTCCTACAGTGTAGACTCTAGACAGACTCCACAACGCAGCCAACAGTTTTATTTAAAAATGCAAGTGAGGTGATGTCACTTAAAATTCTCCAGTGGCTTCCCATTATCCCCCCCCTCTTTTTTTTTTTTTAAAATAAAGCATTTCATCACATATGCTTCATCTCTTTCTGAACCACTTGAAAATAAGTTGAAGTTATTATGATACTTATCCCTAAACTCTTCAGCGTGCTTCTCCTGAGAATAAGGGTATTCTTTTTCATATTATCATACCTAAGAAAGTGACTGATAATTCAGTAGTACATCTAATATCCAGCCCCTATTCAAATTTTCTCATTGTCCTTGAAGGTCTTTTATAGCTGTTTTTTCCCCCATTAATCAGAATCCATATACATTGCAATTGTTACATCTTTTTAGTCTATTTTAATCTAGAACTGTTCATCCAGTACAGTAACCACTAGCCACATGTGGCTACTGAGCACTTGAATGTGCCTAGTCTGAATTGAAATGTGCCCTAAGTGTAAAATACACACCAGGTTTGACTTCAAAAGAAAATATAAAATATCTCAATTTTTATATTGATTAGTGTTGAAATGATAATTTTGGATATGTGTGTTGAATAAAATATATGTTTAAAACTAATTTCACCTGTTTACTTTTGCCTTTTTAAACATGATACTAGAAAACTTAAACTACATATGTGGCTTGCATTTGTTGCTTACATGGTATTTCTATGGGATATTGTGAATCTAGAAAATACATTCATCTTTTTCTTTCATTACCCTGACTTTTTGAAGAGTCCAGGCAAGTTGTAGAATATCCCACATTCTGAATTATCACTCTTAGGATAAGAATCTTGGTGTATGAAGTACAAAGCTCTCAAGATTGTCTTTTCCCCTTGCTGCTGCTGTAGGGAGCATCTCCTACAATTCTTCCACTTATTCCACACTGACTTCCTTGCTGTTCAGTAAACACATCCAACATTTCCTTTACAATTTCCTGGGAAGTCTCATCTCCATAATTTTTACAAGGCTGATTTCCATACTTTATATTTTTTATATTTATATTTTGTATTTTTAATATTTTATATTTGTATTTATATTTTATATTTTTATTTATTTATTTATTTTAGGTCTCTGTGTACATATCTTATACTCAGAGAAACCATCCTGACCGTCTTCTGTAAATTAGCACTTTTCATCACTCTTGCCTTACCTTGCTTTATTTTTCTTAACACTTATGACTACTTGACATTTTGTTGTATATTTGCTTACTTTCTGATTTATGGGTTGAATTATGTTCCCCCCAAATTCATATATTGAAGTTCCAACCCCCAATACCTCAGAATGTTACTTTATTTGGAAGTAGGTTCACTGTAGATGCAGTTAAGAAGAGGTCAGTAGGGTGAGCCTCAATTCAGTATGACTGGTGTACTTATAAGAATGGTATATCTGGACACAGAAAGAATGACATGTGAGGATGAAGGCAGAGATTGGGGTGACACTTATGCAAGTCAAGTGATTTCAACAATTGCTAGCAAACTTCTGGAAGCTAGGAGAGAGGCATGGATTTAGATTCTTCCTCATAGTCCTAAGAAGGAACCAACTTACTGACACCTTGATCTTGGACTTCTAGCCTCCAGAACTGTGAGGAAAATACATTTGTTTTCCTTAAGCCAACCAGTTTGTGGTAACTTGTTACAGCAGCCCTAGGACACTGATACATACCCCCACATAGTACATATATTTTCCTTTTATGTGCGGTAAGGTTTGGGATACTTTTTATTTTCTCGAGAAAGAATAGGTATCACTGACACTGTGCCTTCAAAATGGTGTGATCTCTTGAGGTTAACCAGTGATTTTGTGGCGTGTTGATCACTTTAGACGCTTTCTACCTTGCAGTGGACAGAGACTCATCCTTATAGACATTTACATGTATTCCAGGTATAATTTTGCTTTCCCTGTCTCTAGGGCCTCAGCTAATACTACCAACCAAGTACTCAGTTTTGTATATACTGACATAGGATCTTGCCTAACATCTCAGACCAAGGGACCAACTTTGCTGTGAAGGATATATTACAAAGGACACATGATCATGGTATCTAGTGGTCCTACCATATTCTACATCACACAGAAGTGGCCAGCCTGTTTCCCCACAGCTTTGCCAACATAATAAGCAAAACCTTTTAATTATCAGATAATATATTTCAGGAGGAAAACACTGGTGACAGAAATTTGAACTAGTTGGGAGAGAAACGAGTTAGGGAGACCTGTTAGAAAGCTATTTGGAAATAAAGATACGAGTTCTAAAGCTGTGGGCTAATGTAGCTGTTGATATGATTATAAGTCAGTGTTAAGAGTTGAGGGTGAGGTTTGAGGTGCTTTTAGTTTTTTTTTTTTTTTTTTTGCTATATCCATCCCTATCAGTCACTATTGATACTCTCTCCAGATGAGATTCCTAAGGAAGTTACACAAATGAACAAGAGTAAAATAGGACTGATTATAGTAGTTAATATTTATTGAGCACTTTATTAGACACTGTACTATACACTTGAAGTGCTGTATTTTGCTTAATCCTCTGTGGGGGCAACAAGCAGAATTATTCAAAAATGGGTCTGGGATCTCACTGTAGATTGCCTAGGAAATGAACTAGCTGGAACTGGAGTTTCCCCCTCCTTCTGAGAAGAGGGGCTGCACCCAAACTCAGCTTCCCAGTGGCATGCAGTCCTTAACTCTCCTGCAACTCTCCACAGGATCCATGGTCTCCAGGGACTGGGCAGCTGGTCTTCCTCAGATGCTTCTTCAGGTGTGCTGTCAACTAAAGCCAAACTGTCTGGCAGTCAGTCTGCTGTCACCTTACTGAAAAGCAATGTTCAACTTTATCCTTTGAGAAGTTGGGTCAGGACTAGAGCACCAACTCACTGCATGTCAAACAATTTGGCCTTGGCCTTGGTTCACCACTCTGTGGGATTATAGAGGATGGAGGACCCAATGCCTCTTGTGCCTGACTCTTGGTTTCTAAGTTTTCACAATAAATCTTAATCTTAGTTTATACTTCGTGATGCTATAGAATTTATCCCAAGACTCATTGCAGCACATCCTTGCAGCAAATTTAGGGGCCTGATGCTCCAGTGCCATCCTTTTTCTTGCAGCAAATTTATGAGTTAGAAATTACTCCTTCTATTTTAGGCAGGAAGAATATGAGACACAGAGAAGGTCACATGGCTAGTAAGTGGTAGGATTTGAAACCAAGTTTCTGATTTCTGAGCCTATGATCTCAAAAACTTTGTTAAACAAATGGAACGGCCAATTTATAAAGTGAATGAGTGCTCAACTATTCAAAGAAGCATCCATGCAGAAGTTCAAATCTCATGCAGAGATTTAAATCTCAGTTGGAGCACATAGCCTATATTTAGTCTGCTGTGGTGCTTTTTACTTTCTCCTAAGTCTTAGGCTTATGTCACCTCCTGACCAGCTACATGGAGAAAATAACTTGAGAAAAGGAAGATGGCTGGGTCTACACAGGAGACCTAAGCTTACTGTTTCATTCCTTATGGGCCTAGAGGAGAGGAAAAGCAAGACAAAACATGCAAGATAGGTTTGTGCCTTTTAAAACGTGGCTACACTTTCCATCAGTAATCAAGACCTCGTTGATGTCCTAGAATTTGACCAATGAGATTAATGATATCTGTCTGTTGAAAGAGTGGCTAAGGAAGGATTAAACTGAGGCAGGTCTGGTGTGGGCAGAAGGATTTGAATCCCCCTTCATTCCCCTGCCCCTGCTTCCAGCCATTGGAATGGGTTTTTAAAGCATTTGGTCAGTCATACCACAAAATAAATTGTATAGTCATTTCCTCATCTCACTGATTTTTCTATGCCAATTAAGCAAAAACTGAAGAGCAGAAAAATCACACACCTTTTATTAATCTCTTGACAAATCTGGTTCAGGGCCAGAATCAGGAGGGTGTATCTCAGGAGGCAATCCAGCTGATTGCAGATAGGATTTTGGAATAATAATTTCAAAAGTTTCATAGAGAATTGTCAGCACTTGCACCTGTTCCCATTCCAATAGAATATTTAGTTTATTCTATCCAAATTCTCATAAACTCATTCTATAATCAGGAACTAGGCAGAAATGTCTTTAATGAATCAAATAATACTAAAACTTATATTTAACTGACATGACAGATGCTAATGCTGTTTCTCAGATACCTTTATTATTACTTGAAACTTTTCTAATAAGCCTCCTTGTGTATTTTCCCAGTCACCGAACTGAATCATTGGTATCCAAAGCTAACCGCTGCCTAGATGCTTTTGAATTAATGTAAACGGGATTCTTTCTCCCTGACGCTCCCTTTTTCCTGCAGTCCCTTACACCCTCCCAATACCAGTGTGGCTCGAGGGGGCCTACGATTCTATTCTGACTTAATTCAGTGTCCCATACCAGGCCGCACCTCCTTAGGTACCAGAGTGTGTGGGGTGGGCTCTATTCCCTCAGGGAACATTTTTGTGTGGCAGGGCGTCTCACTGGGTCAAGCTCACTAATTCCGTATGTCCCAGAGTGGGCTTCGCTTCTGTCCGTCAGGAGCTTAGAGAGCTCTGGAGGGTAAAAGGACTCAATTCGCAGGGGAATTGAGATATTCTGGTGGAAGTGCAGTGAAAGCATGCTTCAACCTGTTCCATGTGAACTCAAATTAGGCCTAATATTCACCCTGAAGAGGGATGGAGAAGAAGACTTGGCCAGATCAGTAACAGCAAACCAGTCTGCCATGTGGGCCTCCACCCTCTCATTGATGGTTGTGATGGTGGGTACTGGATGGCACCTTGGCATTCAATCTATAGTAGTCTACTGTCAGCTTTCACCCTGA